GGCGGGGAAGGGATCAATGCTACTGCTTAATTAACAAAGGGTATAGGTGTGAATTATTTTGATATCATTGATAATCTGAAACAAGTATGAGGAGTAACAAAAGGAACACCTAGAATAGGGAGAACTTAAAGGCTCAATGCTTTCAAACAACATGAACTTGATAACAGCTTCTATGTGCACTTTTAAGTGTTTGTGGTTGACACGAAAATTGAAACCTAAATAAAAAGCAAATATTGTATAAAAAGATAAGAGGCCCAGTGGTGTAGTGGATTATGTCATGGGCTATTAAATGCAAGTTCAGCAGTTCAAACCCACCAGCTGTTCCTCAGGAGAAAGATGAGGCTTTCTGTTCCAAAACGGATTTACAGCTACAGAAACCCAAAGAGGCAGGTCTGTTCTATCCTACAGAGTCTGGCTTTGAGTTGAAATCAACTCAGTGGCAGTACATGTGTTTGTTTGTTTTTTATGAATGATATAATCAATTCAAAGATGAGTGAATCTAGAGCAATGTTTACCCAAGTGGGTAATATTGCCCCCTGGGGGAAGGGGTTGCACTGGAACCATCCAGAGGGCCTGCAAAAGCAAATACACCTTACTCTGGATTATGGGCCTTAGCACAAATGTTTCTCATTGTTAGGGTCGGCAGGCCAAGTAAGTTTGGGAAGCTATGATCTAGAGCAAGTATCTGCAAACTGTGGCTTGAGAGCCAGATGAGGCTCGTTAGGTATGCATAGGTGGCCCTGAAGTAAAACTGGAAAAATTTTAAATGATATTATTCGGATAATGATGACTTCTTTCTTCTTCTTCTTTTTTTTTTTACATCATTTTATTTGGGGGATCTTTTTAAAAAAAATCATTTTATTGGGGGTTTGTACAACTATTATCAAAATCCATATATCCATCCATTATGACAATCCATATATCCATTCATCTGAACATTTGTTGCCATCATCATTTTCTTTCTATTTGAGCCCTTGGTATCAGCTTCTCATTTCCCCGCCTCCTTCCCCTATCCCTCATGAACCCTTGATAATTTATAAATTATTAGGTAATGGTGATTTCATTTGTTTGTAAAATATATATTCATGGCTCTCAAATGACTTTTAAATTGTTATGAAGGACAGGATTGGCTTTTTCATCTCAAAAGTTTGCCTACCCTTGATCTAGAGCAATTCCACTATCAAGATCATCAGAGTATCTGTATAGTTTGTTTCTAAGAGTTAGTAATAAATCCAGTTAGTATATTAACAATGAATCTAAGAAAGATCAGTTTCTTTAAAGACATTTAAACCATAGTCATCTATTTTATAAGATTCCATGAAGCACTATTGCTAGACTCCATAGGAGTTCATAATCTTTGCCTAAAGCTAGGCTTCTGGGTACACAGAAACAGAAACTAGTGGACAAAAAGTAGTAAGGCTCAGCACACATATCCATTGTGTAGTTTCTAAAAATGCATGAGAAGAATAAAAAGAACAGCTGCTGTTATTACATCTGTACTAGAGCTTAAATTCTGCGCACTTCAGTTTTCAAAGGGCTGTGGATGGCAGCGAGAGCCCAAAATCCATATGCAGAGTACGGACACAGATTCCGCCTCAATGGAATTCTTTCTGATCATTAACCAAGGATGTAGATAATCTTGCCATCCCAGACACAGGTAGTCTCTTTTAGGACCTTGCCTGGATGTGTCTATTGGAA